AAAGTAGTTTCGCTTTTACAACGAAGCACACAGCGTCTTCAGTACATGGCTGCAGCGTCAACAATACTACAGCTAGAATAAAAGTTCTTTCTTTGCGTGAACATTTGGGCGGTGTTATGCAAATCTTCCCACATCGTGACGTAGGTATGTGGGGACGTGTTAGAACGAGCCGTTTTAGGTAGGTGTGGTTAACTCTTAACTTTTATAAAGAATATCTCTTTGGTTTTGAGACTTTAGTGTTTGCAACTTTACAGATCTTCTTTATGCACCAAGAGCGTGTAACACTCCAAAGAGAAAGGAAAAATTGAAATCGCATCATATGACCCCTTTAATATTTGCTATTTCTAACAGTAATCTTTACTTACGTTTTGCTGGTGCTCTGTAATGTGCGAATTTATACATCAATAATCAGAATGCACACGTCTGACATGTAAAAACACTGTGACACTTAATTGTATGTACTACATACAATGCTCTGCTGCTTTCACTGGATATTTTCCAGAGAGATTTGCAGATCCCCCAGCTGAGTACTAGCTCCAGCATGAAAACCAATTTGGTTAGTCCGGGTGGGAACATGCAAGACTTTGCAAAAATTATTCTGATTTTTATGTCCAGAACCTGACTGTTACCCTCTGAAAGGCTGTGATATTACATACATTTGAGTCCCTTAATGATTATTTGTTCCTTGCTTTTTTTTTTTTTTCTTTGTTGCAGTCTTGCCGTTTTTGATTTCATTTGATGTTTCATATTTGCTCTTTGTGTGTTTTATCAGTCTGAGGTCTCTTGGATCCCTAACAAGCATTATTCTGGCATCTACGGCCTGATGAAGCTGGTGCTGACCAAGACACTGCCCTCTGACCTACAGAAGGTCATCGTCCTGGATACTGACATCACCTTTGCCACAGACATCGCTGAGCTGTGGGTCGTTTTCCACAAGTTCAAAGGTACTTTTGAGTTAACATTCATTTGAAATGATTACGTTTATTTGTCATTTGATATTCACTAATGTTGTTAATTAAATAATTCAAGTTTTGTGGCTGGGGAAGATCAGAAAACCTGTGAAAACTGTGTGCATCCCACAGAAATACTTGCCATAACAAGACAACGTTTTGTCAGTTGAGACTATCATTAATGTTCAATGAGGCACATGTTTGCAGCTCAGATCAATAATGTCACAGGTTATTCCACCAGACACTGACCGCAGCAACCACAGTGATCAATGATTTCAGTAATGAACCAGCCTTTGTGACTAACTACATTTGATCTTATGCCTGAAGCTTTATCAACAGAGCAATAGCCCGTGACTTTACCGTACCGGCCTTTGACGTGAAATCCTGTTGCTTAGAAACAACGACACACTGTTGTTGAATACATTTGATTACTGTGTCTTGAAGGATGTATGCTAGGAAAGCTAGAGATGTCCTTGTCTTATTGACCATTTGTTCTGATCTTCATGTCATGTGGTGTGACTCCCCAAACTACTTTTTACCTGAAAAACAAATGTATTTATTTTTTATTTTTAGATGTATACACTCACATTTATTCAATGTGTAAGGGAAAATACTTTTTTACTTGATACTGGGCACCACATGACATTTTTAGAGTTGAAAATATTACTGTAGTTTTCCAAAACCATATGAATCCAACATGAATACAAAAGAGTACATTTGTTTTAAAGCAGATTTTCTAAAGATTTTTCCTTTTCCTATGTCATTGACTAAAACACACGTGAGAGCTTTAAATGAACTACACAGATTTTTGTCCATAGTTCACCATAACTTAGATGCTACCGATCAGTCAATACAGACGCATTGATGTCACTGTGGGGGTGTTTGTGCATTTCAGGTCAGCAGGTTCTTGGTTTGGTGGAGAATCAGAGTGATTGGTACCTGGGGAACCTGTGGAAGAACCATCGGCCATGGCCAGCGCTAGGCAGAGGCTTTAACACCGGTACGCCAGCCAGGTTTCTGATTATCTGGCTTATCTGAAGGGGAAGACCAGTTTTAAAACAAACACTAAAGCTCCTGATGAATTAAATCATGTTTTTGTGATTTTGAACTGGACAATGACATTATTTTATAAGTGTTAATTAGTGTAATGGCCAACAAATGATGTTGTGTTTGTTTTGAAGGTGTGATTCTGCTGTTGTTGGATCGATTGAGGAAGCTAAAGTGGGAGCAGATGTGGCGGCTGACGGCAGAGAGAGAGCTCATGAGCATGCTGTCTACATCACTCGCTGATCAGGTAAACACACAAGCTCTGTTTTAATCTGACCTGCTGTCTACTTAAGACAGGAGAACATAATGTATTGTGCAACTCACTAGAGACATTGGTATGATGAATGCATCATACAAATAGTTTCTCATGAGAAGCACATGGGAGACTCTAGAGTTTGACCTACTAAACATATGGAACACAAACATTGGGTGAAATATATTTTAAATGAAAGGAACTTCATATCAAAATGACAGTTGACAATATTGTGCCTGCAGGACATCTTCAATGCTGTGATCAAGCAGAACCCATTCCTGGTGCACCAGCTGCCCTGCTTTTGGAATGTTCAGCTATCGGATCACACCCGCTCCGAAAAGTGCTACAAAGATGTGTCCGACCTCAAGGTGACATCACTGTGGAGACAAAAATGGGAGCTCACACTTATGCTAGAAGACAAACAACAATTTCTTCTGTAGCTGCCCCGTATATGTATATGTGTGCTTAATATAGAATTGTTACTTCTGCATAAAGAAACACAAGCAGTTCAGTTTGAGACAGCGGTCAAGCAGGGTCCACATTTCTGAACTTCTTCATCTGATTGTGCAGGTGATTCACTGGAACTCTCCGAAGAAACTGCGTGTAAAGAACAAACATGTGGAGTTCTTCAGGAATCTCTATCTGACATTCCTGGAGTATGATGGGAATCTGCTGAGGCGAGAGCTCTTTGGCTGTCCCAGCGAAACGGACCACAACTCAGAGAATGTGAGTTTTACTTCACTGTGCTTCATGTTGGCAACTGCTGCTTTTATTGTTTCCGAGGTCTGCAATGATTTTTTTGGTTTTGTTCAGGCAGCATGATGGAATAACACTTGTTTTCTTAATATCCTTGCAGCTCCAAAAGACCCTGTCTGAGCTGGATGAAGATGACCCATGTTATGAGTTTCGTCGGGAGCGCTTCACAGTCCACCGCACACATGTCTATTTCCTGCACTATGAGTACGAACCAGCCTTAGATAACACTGACGTGACACTGGTGGCCCAGCTGTCTATGGACAGGTAAGAAAACACACTTACATTTACTTTCTATAAAGACGCACATATCACCTCACCAACAGATATTTAATACATGATGCTAAATAGAGCCTTTTATAAGGCACATTAAATCAAGTTGATCAAAACTTCCTGGAGGATGATGTCATTTAAGAGCTTTCAAAGAAATATTTGGGTCTGTTTATACAAGCTAAGCTGAATCGACAGCATTTGCAGCATAATGTTGATTAACAAAAAGTAATTTAATTTGTCCCTTGTTGTTTTTAAAGAAAAAGAAAAAAGAAAAAACCTAGATTAGAGTGATACAGTTTGAATGGATGTGAATTGGGCCAATTGGAGGATTTAAAAGCAGAAATGAGAAGCTTATAATTTTATAAAAGCACTTGTAATAATTCTACATTTAAGACTTGTTTATTAAAGCGTGTTTATTAAAGTTTATTAAACTAAATAAAAAAACACTAGCTTCTCTAATCTTTTTGTATTCTATCTGTTTTCTTTTTATTTATTATACAATTAACAAAAGCAAATAAGGCCTCTAACACTAGCTTGCTCTATTCTTTTTCTATTCTATCTGTTTTTATTTTTATTATATCATTTAATTTTTTTTAAAAACTTGCTACGTGTACTGCATTAAGCTAACTGAGACTTGTTATAGCACTTGCATATCATTGCTCTTTTGTTGATTTTGATTGCTTCCATTGTCCTCATTTGTAAGTCGCTTTGGATAAAAGCGTCTGCTAAATGACTAAATGTAATGTAACGCTGTGTAAATCATGATTTTACAGTGGTTTTAGGGTTTTAGCTCTATGTTGTCATGGTAAAAAAGTTGTAAGAATTAGATTTACACTTTAACTTTAACATACTGTGTTTTATGATACTGTGTACTGCTACGGTATTGAAAAAAATACAACTGATGGAGAAACTTACTTATCTCCTTTCCTACTCAGCTGACCCGACCAACACTTACAAAAACCAGATTTTTGTATGTCACTTCTAGGGATGTAACGATTCACTCAACTCACGATTCGATTCACGATTTTTTTTTTTTACAAAATGAGATTTAAGACAAATTATAAATTAAATGTGTCCTGTTATTATTGCTTGGACAAAATACTGCACATTTCTTTGTGAAATTG